ATTCCTCTCAGACACACCTCTTCTGGGGGAGTGGAAAGGAAGGTGAAAAAAACACCAAACTAGTAGTTGCTATTTACTGAGTGTTTTCTGTGTATCAGTCAAAGACCCCCAGCTTGTCAGTGGTAGAGCTGACATTTGAACTCATTCCTGACACCAAACTAGGCCTTGCGTACACTCAAGTGCTGTCCAGTCCTGGTTCTCAAGCTCTCTCCCAGGGCTCCTTCCCTGTGCTGCTTCCTCTGCCTAGGAACAGCCTTTCCCCTTTACTGGCTGGCCAACTTGGATTTCCTTTAAGAACAACTCAAAACTCATTTCTTCCAAGCAGAATTAAATATCCCTCCGTGGGGATACCCTAAAACACTGACCTTCAAACTTTTATTGACCTCAACTCACAATAAGAAATACACTTACGTGGGGGCTTACCTGGGGTGCGAATGGCTGGGGGTGGGGGGTCAATTGGGGAAAAAGGAGACATATGTAAAACTTTAGACAATAAAAATAAATAAATAAATACACTAACATCACTAGGATATATAAATAATTAAAACAAAATTTTCATGAAAAAATACAGTGCATTCTGACAGCTTTAATTCTATTTAATTTTTATAATATACTAATTTTAAGCCACTTAAATTGATTTCATGACCCGCTGAGAGTTGGGGTAACTGGAAGAGGGTAAGGGGGGGATAAATGGTGATGGAAGGAAACTTGACTTTGGGTGGTAAACACACAATATAATATACAGATGATATATTATAGAATTGTACACTTGAAACCTATATAATTTTATTAACCAATATCATACCAATAAATTCAATAAAAAATTTTTTTAAAAAGAAAAGAAAATTTTTCCTAGAAGACAGTCTTTCTTCCCTTGACAGCTTTTGTTTCTTCTTTTTTTTTTTTAATATATTTTATTGATTTTTTACAGAGAGGAAGGGAGAGAGGTAGAGAGCTAGAAACATCAATGAGCGAGAAGCATCGATCAGCTGCCTCCTGCACATCTCCCACTGGGGATGTGCCCGCAACCCAGGTACATGCCCTTGACCGGAATCGAACCTGGGACCCTTCAGTCCGCAGGCCGACGCTCTATCCACTGAGCCAAACCGGTTTCGGCCAGCTTTTGTTTCTTTTATCTCTGAAGGGCTCAGATTCTCTGGCCCCTCAAAAAGATGCACTGGGGCCCAGTTCTTTGTTGCCCCATCCTTCTAAGATGAAGTTTCATTTCGATCTTATTTATTTTTCCAGTGTTGAAAAGTTGGCCGTAAAAGCATGACTATTTGTATGCTTGGCTGGGTGTACCTAGTGTATTTGACATTTAAGAAAATCATTTCAAACACTGCCCTCCTTTATACAACATTATTTTCAATAATAATCATATAACAAAATTAATAATAGTAATGACCATAAAAGAAACCCAGATATTAACAATTTTTTAATCCTCACCTGAGGATATTTTTCCATTGATTTTTAGAGAGAGTGGAAGGGAGGGGGAGGGACAGAGAGAGAGAGAAATATTGATGTGAGAGAAACACATTGATTGGCTGCCTCCTGCACTCACTCCAACCGTGCCGGGGATCCAGCCTACAATTGAGGTACGTGCCCTTGACTGGAATCGAACCTGCAACCCTTCAGTCAATAGACTGACACTCTTACCACTGAGCCAGACTGGCTAGGGCAACAATTTTTTTAAACTGTAAAATACATGTAGCATAAATTTACCATCTTAACCATTTTAGGTAGACACCTCAGTAGTGTTATGTATACTCACATTATTTTGTTGTACACTCAATTTCCAAAACGTTTGCTTCTTGAAAAATTGAAACTCTGGCCCTGGCAGGTGTGGCTCAGTTGATTGAGCATCAAATCCTGTGCACCAAAAGATTGCTGGTTTGATTCCCTGTCAGGACACATACGCAGGTTACAGTTTAATCCCCGGTCAGGGTGTGTGCAGGAGGCAACTGATCAATGTTTCTCTCTAATCTCTCTCTCTCTTTTTCTCCCTCTCCCTTCCCCTCTCTCTAAAATCAATAAAAGCATGTCCTTGGGTAAGAATTTTTTTTTTAAAAAATGACACTGAATGGTTTGTTTTTAAGTTTAAAAATATTTGTATTAACTTGGTAATACATTATTTTGATTTGTTTTTCCTCTGGGTATGGGTTCTTTAATTGTAATTTTTTTTTCTTCTAACATGCCACTGGACTGGTCACCTAAAACTGCCCCACCTCATGACTTCTCGTCTCAGTAACAAAGCTACTGTCCACTTGTCACCCAAGCCAAAACACTTATCCAGTCTGATATAGTCTGGTCATTCCACCTCCTAAACCTCACTCAAACAATGGCTCCTTTTCTCTAGCCCTTCATACACTACCTGACTCACTGAGTGATTGGAATTCTGTATCATCTTCTACAAAACACAATGTATGGTCTACAAATTTCAGTTTCAGATTTTCTGAAAGTAGAGTAAGATTTTAAGCATTTAAGAAGTAATTTGTAGAATCCTATACTTTTTTCATGATTTTTTTCCACCTCTGTCATGTGCCTCAATGAGGTTAATTTTTTAAATGAGGCAGTTTAGATATAGAAAAATCTCAAAATATATAGTAAATGAAAAAACAACAACAGATGTTGAATATTATATATATTGTGTCCTTATTCAGTGTGTGTGGGGGGGAAGAATAAGTACAAAGTGACTATGGTTGCTGCCTGATAATTTCTGGTTCTGTTTTGTTAGTTTTACAGAATGAGGATCAGTTTAAAGAATGAAGAAGCCAATATTGGGAATATTTTTGAACGGTCCATTTGGAAATAATATTATCTATTGAGCTATAGAAGGGTGGAAAGCTTTTATTCAGAACAAGTAAGTATACTAGAAATAAAATCTGTCTGGTTATATAGTATGCCATCAAATGATATTGAGTGAAAATCAATTCATTCCTTCCCTTGATGAGTTATATGTGGAATTCCCAATAAATATTCTTTTGTGGGTTTGAGAATTCAGTTATAAAACTGGCAGCCCACGACAAAAGGCAGAAACACAGGTAAAGTAGGACTTACAAAGAGCAATCAGGTGTGTTTTAAAATTTTGGTCCTCTGTCATCACCTATTAGCATATCCTCCCAGCCAGATAGCAGAGATCTGTACCTATCAAGTGCATTGTGAAGAAACATATGTATGTATGTATATATGTATGTATTTAAAACAAACAAAACACACAAAAGACTAGTCTTGTAACCTTGTGGAGGACTCTAGGCCTTTCTGAGGCAACATTTCTTCAGCTGTAAAATGAAGATTGTGACCAGATTCAGACTTAGAGGTCATGTCCATACAGAGAATGTAGAAGACAGAGAAGAACAGATGAGACCCCAGAGATGAGACTGGCAAACCGGACATATAGACAGGGATGTGGTAACATCCCAGCTGAGGTTAGTAGTAGAGATTTGTGACAGAGAGAAAGGCAAGTTGGGGTGGGATCCTCAGGGTCGGAGAACCTGATGGTGCATCTGAGACCAGAGAAGCCACAGGTCCTTTGGGAGGAGCCTACCTACTTGGGTGAATCCATGAAGGTTTGAAAACCAGGAGCAGCCTAGCCCAGGAAGAAAACTGGTGCAGATAGTGTCTAAGAGAAAAAACCAGGGAGACATTTCACCGAGCTGTCATGGACTGCCTGGGGACAGTGTGCTCTGCATTCGACAGAAATGGCATAGCTTCCCAGGGACTACTAGAGGTAAGAGGGCTTATGCTGGAGACAGACAGTGTTCTTCAGTGATACGCTTCAGCAAAGACCAAAATCTTTGGCAGATAAAAAAATGCTACTCCTTTGAGTGATAACAGCTGAATAATGCCTAAAAATAGTGGCTACCATGTATTGAGCTATTACTTTGTATAAGATACTATACATGAATTTTCATAACACCTTCATAAGCTAAACACTGCTCTCAACACCACTGTACAGATAACGAATTAGTGGTGTACTGAGCTGGTTCTTACTGTTTTGTGAGGCCTTGTTGCTGAATTTTCATGACGTTTGTTACCCAGTTAACATACATTATTATCTTGAAATCGACCATGGTGGGAATATTTATAACATGGAGATCGGTAAATGCTACCGATTAGGGCCTTTACCCCCAGAGAGCCAGGGTGTTCAACATTTAGCAGCACAGCACTGAGACAGGCTCAGAGAGGTTTAGCAACTTGGCAAGGTTCCACAGAGAGTAGCAAGTGGCAGACCTAGGCCAGTCTCCTTCCTCTAACGCCCACTTTGATTTTACTGGGAACCATTTTATTCTGGGGAATAAGACTGTTCATCTTACTTTATTACCAAAGAAACACCATCTTGCTCACCAAGGGGTTAGGGATAAGGAGCTTTGCAGGGCGTTTCTTCAGGGCCTGGAATTCAGCATTTGTCATCTCCATAACTCAAGATGGGTCTAAAGGAGAAAAAAATCATGACCCGAATGCTCTGGCAACATTACATTCATATTTTATACAAGTGAATAAATACGTATATATTTCCCCATCTCCTCAGTGAATTTCATTAAGGAGAACAGTCAAGCCCTCATTCAAAGAATGGGAATGACAGTTATCAAGCAAGTTGTGGACGAGCTCTTTGTGTGGAATGTTCTGAATTTTGAAGAAGTAAACATCATTTGCTGCGAGAAGGTTGAGCAGGATGCTGCCAGAGGGATCATTCACATGATTTTGAAGAAGGGTTCCGAAGCCTGTAACCTCTTTCTTAAATCCCTTGAAAAGTGGGACTATCCTCTGTTTCAGGACTTGAATGGACAAAGTAAGTATCAGATTGCCTGGTATCTGTTCCACAGATAGACTAAACCACGGTGAAGACCCATCATCCCATGACAGAACCTATGCTTTCCTCCCTCTTCATATCACTGGGTGGTGTCCATGGTGGGGAAAAGCTCAGGCACTCTCAGAAAAAACTCCCATAGATCGCTTGACGGTGAAGCCAATAGGTGACTCCAGGCTCAGGGAATAGCTGATTTAGAATAGCCTCACTTCAAAACCAAAGTGGACCATGGAGGCACCTAAGAAGTCCATGCAGTAGTGCTTTCCACCAGCCCATGATCCAAGCACCATGGTAAAGAAACCCTGACTAACTAAAGAAGCATGATTCTGCTTTTCATGAAATATTAATTTAGTTTTTTT